ATCACCGGTTACTAATCCGTTACCTAACCCGTTTTAACCCAACCCATTTTGACCTAAACAAATTTAAATTGAGTTGGATCTTGACTCATTTTGACCCGTCCAATTATCACCCCTAGTCGCTTGACACCCCTTACCCAACCCAAGGATATGTACGTCCGCCCCTATTATAAATGTCCTTGCTTCATTTGGTCAAAGCTTTTTTTAATATTTCCACCTTGGGCTTAATTTTTTTTTTAAAACAAAAAGAAAAGGAATTTGTGACCTTAAATAATATGTCACATGAAAAGCTAAAATAAATTGATAGAAAAAGAAAGATTTAAAAAGAAAGTAAATTATTCTTTTTAAAATGATGGGAGTGCTTTATTTTTTAAATAATAAAGTACATGAAATGATCACATCATATATGAAATGAATATTCAAATGATCTTTTTTTTTTCCTCAAGAAAAGTAGTACGTAAATAGTATATTAAATAACATTATTAGATTAGAAAATTGTTAACAACATACCTTTAGACGACTCTTTTGAAAAGTCAGCAAGTAAAAGTACATCAAATAATGGAAAAAGTGGTACGTAGTTTTCATGGCATTACATGTGGGACCCAACCATGCATGTAGGGAAATTTCTTAGGGCTTGTTTGGAAATTACTAGTTTAGTAATTATATCAAATATTTATAAAAATAAATAAAAATTGAAGGAGCGTGTAAATAAATGTTATTGTATGATAAATACATGTATATATAAGAACTATTAAAAATGAATAAAGAAAGAATTTGAAAAGTCATTTTAATAATTGAAACACAACTACACCTTCTCAATTAAATTCAATAATTTTTTACTAATAAAGTAATTACTTACCAGACCAAAATGTCAAACCATATATAAATACACTCAATCATACCTAAATCTAATAACAAGGTAATCTTCCAAACAAACTCTTATTAAAAAGGGAAAAAAGCAATATTTTTTTTTGGTTTTCATGGGCGGTTTAATATTCACATTAGAACTCAACTAAATTTCATATTAGAATTGGCAAATCTCACATTGGGATAATTTTGGTGCGGAAGCAGGGGCTAGAGGGTAAAACACTTCTTAATAAATCTCTAATAAAGACGATTTTGACTTTCTATATCTAGTAGGGTCCAAGCTTGAAACAATTAAAGTAGGAAGAAATAATATTTTTTTTATTTTTTATTTTTTTCATCCGGTGTCTGGTACCTACATTGGAGCTTTGACTATTTCGGATTCGTGCTGTGTAGGACCCCATTCGGGGGGGGGGAGCGCTCCCTAACAATAAGAATGTTTTCATAGTTAGGATTCGAACTCGAGACCTTTAATTAAGGATGAAGTAAAAATAATATCTTTGCTAGATGTGTTCATTGACTTGTGACTTTTGTCCCACCTAAGTCTTTGCAGTTTTCTGAAAAAAGACCAAGTCCTCCTTCCTATTAACTCAATAAGATGACTGCCTTTTCATAGCAATATCTAGGAACTTTCTTATACAGAAAAAAATGAACACACACATACATATTACTTCTCCTAAACTTCACTTCATAATTCAATTCCCATGTAAGTTATCTCCAAATTATGTTCATTTCACCATGTAAGTTTCTCTATGCTTAAGTTCATTTCTCAAGGTTCAAACTTCTTTTTTATACTTTTCCTATAGTTTGGTTTTAGTTCCTTTTATATGAGTTGTTGATGTTCAGTATTTGTTCTGATTTTCTTATCATATTTGGATTCGTTTTACTTGAAGGAAAGGCAAAACACTTGTCATATGTGCTATCTCTTTCATAATTAGATAATCCTTTTCTCGGATTTCGTATTCTGATCTCTTTTTACTAATGAATTGTTCAAACCATGTTGATTTATTATATCTTTGTATTGAATTGTTTGTCGCCCTTCAAGATTTGCTCCGACTATGTACATATTTATATATATGTATATGTGAACTCCTAACAAAATTAATTGATGGCTTAGTAGTAAGGAAGGGTTCGTGGAATAAATGGTTTCCACACTAGTGTTGTGTGTTCGAACCAACCCCAAACTCCTAATCATGGCACAACACAATCATGAATCATTGCAGGAAGATATAGTGTCACGAAGGAGAGAATAAGATCACTCCACTTATGATTTTTTCTTATAAAATCAATCAACCAAATTTATCATAAAAATATGATATGACAAAATAAATAAATTGATAATGATGAATTCATATTCAAAATTTATTCAATAATGATGAATTTAGAAATTTTGATCCAAAAGTGTTGTCAATCATCTCCAATCCAAATACTAATGTCTATTTCTTCGTATTTCAAGAATTCAAAAGTCCATAATTTAAAGCTCAAAGAAATATAATATTGATAGTAGCTGACAAAATACTATACTATATTTAAACAAAAATAAATTTCATAAAGAAATGAACATTATCATAATTCTTTTTTTTCCAACAAAAAAGTGAATATTATATTAGAATACAATATACCTTAGACGACTCTTTTGAAAAAGAAAGTCAGCAAGTCAAAGTACATCTAATAATGGGAAAATACAGTAATTTTGATGGCACATCTAATAATGGGAAAAGTTAAAGTTTAACTTGTTAAATTTTGTTCTTAGCATTGGAAGAGTAGTAATCTCAATTTTGTTGAGAGTGATCGATTAATGAAGTTTGGGAGAAATTTTGTAGAAGTGTAGATCGTGATTTAATCCGTGTGAGTTAGATAGTTTTTAACTTTTTACATAAAAAAACTATATAATTATTTTTTGTTAAATTATCATATAGTGAAACAAATAGGTTAACTTGTAACATTAAAGAGTTAGGAGTGGGTAAAATAACACAAAGGTGACTCCATATCTAGAATCGAAACCTCTAATTACATAAATTAAGAAATAATATCTTTGTAGACTCTGCATTGACTTGTGACTTGTGTCTTCCTTCCCATTAAATTAATGGGCTGCTTTTTCATAGCAATCTCCAGGAACTTTCTTAAACAGAAAAAATTGAACACATATACATACTACTTGTCCTAAACTTCACTTCATTATTCAATGCCCATGTAATTTAGCTGCAAATTATGTTCATTTGACCATGTAAGTTTCTCACTTTCTCCTTTTAAGTTATTGGAATTTTTTCTTTTTTACTTTTTGTATCAGTAGTTCTTGATGTTAGATCGATGTTTATCCTGATTTTCTTACCATATTTGGATTCGTTCTAGTTGAAGGTGTCTCTTTCATATTTGGCTAATCCTTTTCTCGGAGGAAAAAAATTGCACTTCTATTAATTGAGGAATCTTCCTTCTCACTTAATAACATAAAGAACTATTTTTTTTCAATATTTTTTGTATTCTGAACTTTTTTTACCAGTGAATTGCTCATATGTAGGTCAATTGCCTAAACCATGTCAATTTATAATATCTCTGTATCTTCAAGATTAGCTCCGACTAACATCTGGTTATTTCGATCCCAACACTTGAAACTGTTATATATATATTCTGATTTCGAAAGTTCATGTTGCATTAAGCACAAATTTCTCTTAATTTTTTGGTAGAAGAGATTGAGTTCAGTAAATTTTCATTTTTCTAGTACTCGAACTGTAATTACAACAACAACAATTATCACTATGCCTCAGTTCCGAACAAGTTGAGGTACTTGAACTATTGGCTTTTGCATTTAAGGCTCTCTCATTTGAACACCTTATATTTGTAGTTAATGTAAGCTAGTTGCTGAGCATCCAATAGGACAGAAGCTCAATATGATGAATCCAAAGCAGGACAAATATGTAAGGTTAGTACAATCAGCCTCCTATACCAATAAAAGTTTCATTAGCAGAAGCTTACATAAACTTCATGACATAATTCGAGTTTCCCGCTTGAGGAATTTGATAGAATGTATGTGTTCACTATCAGTCAATGGACCAGGTCCCTTGACAGAATAATAATGCGGAAAATAATAACTCAAAGTAAATCAAATACATGAAATTTTACATGGAAACCCCCTTGCTCAAGGGGGAGAAAACCAAGACCTGTCAAAGCTTCATATTACAAACTCTTATAATCTAGGAATTAAACTCCTAATCCCTTCCTTCGTAACAACTCTGTTACTGATAAGTCTTAATGTTCCCTCACAAAGGCAGGGACCCGGTCCTCTGCAGAGTATGCTCGTCCAGGACCATATGCTATACAACTGGAAAGCTGTTCGCGTCAGAAGTTGGTGAGGTCGTCAGAGTACTACACCAACCAGAAGGGACGAGGTTGTTTGTCCAATGTGTATTAACTCTTGATATTTGATATATTCAAGACAACAAACAACAAATCCATTCATTCATTCAAAGAGAGATATTCAAGCTTCAAAACAACAAGGGACCTAATAGATTGTATTATTGCTTCCTGAATTAGCTATTACTTTGATTGCCTGTATTTGTGCGTATATTATAGGAATCGTTTCGCTTGTGATAGAAACGTTTCAAACTTGGGTGAATCATTGTAAGAACTTAGTTGTGGGAAACTTAGTGTCTTACTTCAAAGTCTACATTAATCAGTTGGGTTAGTATAGTGGGCAGTGCAGACATTGCTTTGGCTCATTGAGTGATAGTGTATTACTCAGGAAAGAGATTAGTAGGTTAATCTCGTGTGTGTTGTAAACTGGGTTTTACTTTGGCTTGTGAAGTATAGTAAAAGTAGTTTGAAAAGTCCTGTGAGAACATGTCGTGATTTTACTCCCTTGAGCAAGGAGGTTTCCACGTAAAGTTGTGTATACCATCTTTACTTTCAATACTTATTTGTTTTTTGTTATTTTAATCGTGTTAAGGACCTGATCCTATCGTAACTAAATGGACGCATACATTCCAACAAGTGGTATAAGAGCTTGACTTTTCTATTTAGGTAACGCCAAGAAAAGAAAAAATCCTGAAGGAATGACTACTCCACCTAACATGGAGGAAGGTCAGTCATCTACCAGGCCACCTCATTTCAATGGACAATATTATGGTTGGTAAAAGAATTGCATGCATGACTACATCAATGTTGAAGACATCGAGTTGTGGGACGTGATTCTTGATGGACCTTACATTCCCACGACCGAAGTGAAAGATGGTGAGCTTACTAAGACGATCATCAAAACCATAAAGGAGTACAACGAAACGGACAGGAAGAAGATAGAGAAGAACTATAAAGCGAAGAAGATTCTGGTATGTGGAATCGGCTCAGATGAGTACATCAAAATTTCTGCTTGCAAGACAGCCAATGAGATATCAGACTGTCTCCAAACAACCCATGAGGGAACAACACAAGTGACAAAGTCTAAGGTCGATATGTTGATGACTCAATACAAAAATTTCTGTATGAAGGAAGGTGAAACCATTCACAAGATGAACTCAAGATTCACCTCCATAATCAACGAACTGAGATGTCTTGGTGAACCTATTCCACCAAGAAAACAAGTTCAAAAGATTCTCAAAGTTCTTCCCAAGTCATGTGAGAGCAAAGTAAATGTTATAACTGAAGCAAAAGAGCTGAAGATACTCGCCATAGATGAACTGATTGGAAATCTCCAAACCTATGCGCTGAACAAACAACAGGGGTCAAACATGAAAGAGGGAAAGAAGGAGAAATCAATGGCATTGAAAACATCATCAAATGATGGGACTGTGGAGGAGGATGAAATGACATACATTACTAGAAGGTTCCAGAAGATTATCAAGAAGCACAGAGGCTTTCAAAAGAAGGGTTCGACCAGCAGGGTAGAAAATGCAAATGATCTTTGTCATAAATGTGGTAAGCCTGGTCACTTTATGAGGGACTGTCCTAGTCAGAAGCAGGAAACTAAGGACTTCAGACCTCGAAGAAGGGACCAGGTCCTAGACCATGCCAAGAGAAAGGCTCATGCTAATCAACTAGTGAAGAAAGCCTTGGAAGTATGGGGAAAAACATCTAGCGAATCCGAGGAAGAGGCAGATAGTCATGAAGATATCTTTATGATGGCTGTCGAAGATGATGGAACTGTGTTCAATTCCATTTTTTCACTAATGGAAAAATCTAGTGATGAAGAGGATCTGAATGAGGTAACCCTTTTCGATCTAAAAAATGACCTAGACACTCTTCCCATTAAAAGATTGAGAAAACTTGCTGATGTACAAATTCACTCAGTTGATGAATTAACTTCTAAAAATTTGATGATAAGTGAAAAACTAAGTTTGTGCGAGGATGAAAACTCAGGTCTTAACTCTCAGATGTCTAAAATGAGTGTTAGGAGAGGTATCCTAGAGTCTGGTAGTCTGCAACCCAACGAGGAACCTAGTACCTCTGAGGGTGGGAAGCGAAAACTCTGTAACTTTGAGGTTGAGCTAGATGAGAAACGTAAGACCTCAGAGTCTAAGGTATTTGCCTCCTTTGAAAGGAACTCTCATCTAGTGAAGGATCTTTGTAAGATCAAAGAAGAGTTGAACCACTCCCTAAAATAGACTGATTCGTCTAAGATACTCTTTAACTCAGCAAATCATAAGTTCAACATCAAAAAGGGGTTAGGTTGTAGACAGATAGATCCTCCCTACAATCCCAATAGTAAATATGTGTCTGTCTCTGACAATCTTTTGTGTACCCATTGTGGAAGAAATGGTCATCTGAAAGAAAAATGTGAGGTTCTGAGAGGAGTAAACGAAAGGCAGGAGAAGTTCCTTCAATCGAAAAAGGTCCTTGTAAAAAGGAAAAAGGTACCTAGTCCCAGTTACTATTTTAGCAAGAACACTTTGCCACCATGGACACCGGACTTCTGATCACCCTCGCCAAAGCAATTCAACTAAAGGTTAACTGCAAAATAGTCAGCATCAGATCTGACCATGGCATAGAGTTTGAAAACTCTTAAATTGAAGGCTTTTGTGCTGAAAATGGAATCCATCATAACTTCTCTGCGCCAAGAACTCCCCAGCAAAATGGAGTTGTTGAAAGGAAGAACAGAACATTGGTAGACATTGCTAGAACCATGTTGATTAACTCACGCTTAGAAATGAATTTTTGGGCAGAAGTAGTCAACACAGCCTGCTATGTTACAAATAGGGGTCTTATTAGGTCCATGATCAAGAAAACACCTTATGAGCTGCTGAATGACACGAAACCTTCAATTGCTCATCTGAAGCCATTTGGTTGCAATGCTTTGTACTAAATAATGGAAAGGATGATCTTGGTAAGTTTGATGCCAGGAGTGATGAAGGGGTGTTCGTCGGGTACTCTTCTACCAGCAAGGCATATAAAACTTTTAACAAAAGAACTCTATGTGTTAAAGAAAGCATGCATGTGATATTTGATGAGTCTAATGATAAGAGCAACGATGAACACAAAGAAGACCCTGAATTGGAGGAACTGATCAAGGGAAAACAGGACAAGGCAATCCAAAATCTTGGAAGCAAACACGTTGCATGGGAAAATGGTGTAGAACTCACAGAAGAACCGGGTCACTCTGATTCAGCTCAAGAGGCACTTTCTTAAAATCCAGAATGTGAAGAAGATGAATATGTTGTTGATGTTGAAGAAGAGATAACTAGAAAGTCTAGATGGAAACATCAATCTTCACATTCACTGGACAATCTCATCTCTCCACTTGACTCCGGAATACAAACTAGATCCAAAACAAGAAATCTAGTTACATATTCAACATTTATATCAACCATTGAGCCTAAGAATATCGAAGAGGCTTTACAAGATGCAGATTGGGTGACATTAATGCAGGAAGAACTTCATCCGTTTGAGAGAAGTAAAGTATGGCACCTGGTCCCCAGACCTTTCAACAGAACCATTATTGGGACTAGGTAGGTCTTTAGAAACAAACTTGATGAGCATGGGATCATTACCAGAAACAAGTCAAGACTTGTGGTGCAAGGATATAATCATGAGGAAGGAATTGACTATGATGAGACCTTTGCTCCTGTAGCCAGAATGGATGACATTAGGATCTTGATAACTTTTGCTGCCCATATGGAGTTTAAACTATTTCAAATGGGTGTCAAGAGTGCCTTCTTGAATGGGAATTTGAAAGAAGAGGTGTATGTTAAACAACCTCCAGGTTTTGAAGATGTTGATCTTTCAAACCATGTGCTGAAGTTGGATAAAGCTCTGTATGGTTTAAAGCAAGCTCCTAGAGCGTGGTATGAGCGCCTGTTGAAATTCCTCTTTGCAAATGGGTTCAAAAGAGGTAAAATTGATAATACTTTGTTCCTAAAATCCATATGTAAGGAGTTGTTGATTGTGCAGGTATATGTAGATGACATTATCTTTGGAGCTACATTAGATTCTCTGTGCAAAGAGTTTGCTGATTTGATGAGTAGTGAATTCGAAATGAGCATGATGGGGGAGCTTACTTTCTTCGTAGGACTGCAGATCAAACAATCTTCTCAGGGCACTTCTATATGTCAAAAGAAGTATATAAAAGAATTGCTCAAAAAGTTCAATCTGCTTGAGGTAAAAGTCCTTGATACTTCAATGAGCACGAGTGTGAAGCTTGATATGGATGAAGATGGAGTTGAGGTTAATCAGACCATGTACATGGAAATGATTGAGTCACTTTTGTACCTCACTGCAAGCAAGCCTGATATAGTCTTCAGTGTAGGGATGTGTGCTAGGTTTCAAGCAGCACAAAAGGAATCACACTTGAAGGCAACCAAATAATTCTGAGATATTTGACGGGAACACAGGACTTGGTCCTCTTCTATCCCAGTGGTGACTCTTTTGATCTAATTGGTTACGCTGATGTTGATTATGCGGGTTTTCTTATTGATAAAAAAAGCACATCAGACATGGCACACTTCCTAGAATCGTCACTGATTTCTTGTGGGACTAAGAAGCAAAATTCAGTGGCACTGTCTACAGCAGAAGCAGAGTATGTGGCTGCTGCATCATATTGTGCTCAGCTCTTATGGATCAAGCAACAATTGGAAGACTTTGGTGTTCTCACAGACACTATTCCTCTAATATGCGACAACACCAGTGCAATGAACATGGCCAAGAATGTTGTTCAACATAAGAGGACAAAACACATATAGACGTGAGGCATCACTTCCTAAGGTACAATGTTGAGAAGCAAAATGTGGTGATGAATTTCTGCAAGACTGAAGACCAGCTGGCTGATATCTTTACAAAGCCTTTGAGTAAAGAATGTTTTATTAAAAACAGACTGAGGCTAGGCATGCACAAGATGACCTGATTCCATAACAAGCTTGCACAAAATCTTCCAGTTGATTATGTTAAGGAGGGTAGGTATTTATACTTGTTGTAATGCTCATCATTTGAGAATTCACTTTTGGTACCTTACTGCAGGTACACACTCATGGCATGTTAGCTAAAGGGAAGATTTCACCATACATGCAGGGCTATATACTAAATGGGACCTGGTCCGCATAAAGTTAGTATCACTTTTGCTACACTGTGTGTCTATCAACGGTCACTGCCACGTGTTCCCTACCCATTCATTGCGTCAGTTTCAAACGTCTTTTCACTTTAAATCCAAGAGTCACTACTTTTCAGAGATCCGATACCCCTTGGGCTTAAATACAACGAGTTTTAGTGAATCCAAACATCTTAATATCTTTCTAATCTCCTTTTGTGATTCATTACGTTGTTCTAAATCGTTTCTTCCTTCTCATCAAAAGGACTAACTCTTCTTCATCTTCAAAGCTTCCCATTTCCCAAGAAATTAAAAACCCCAAATCATTCAATTTCTCCATTTTTCTCCCTGACGAGTCCCCTTCCACACCAGTCTGTGGTGCTGGTGAGACGGGTGAATCCATCACTCTTCATACTGAAGTGGCAACCTCTCCTGCACCTCCATCTGGGGAAGTTTTACCTTGCTCGCCTACGCTGGTTTTGTCCAGTGAAAAATCTCAAAACTCAGAGACCCAATAAGTTATGAAACCAAGTGGTGATCTTCCCATTAAAGAAGTAGAAATGGTTTCTATGGCAGTGTCATCTACGATGTATGAGCAATTGTTTGATGAAGATTTACCGGGAAAGGGCCCTGAGTCAAATATTCTAGCAGCAGCGGCAGAACTATTGGCCGTGCAAAGTTTGGCCACACTCAGAGGAGATGCTCAACCAACACTATTGGAACAGGAGTTGAGGTAATCGGAGCAGGTCCCACACAGTGTTCAACCTGTGTTTGACCAAACTCCTAAGTCATTTGACGTTGCAAGTGAAGAAGGGGATGAAAAAGAAGTTCCTTTGAAATGGAGTAGGAAAGGAGTTCGCGATGCAAACTTCTCGACAACAGGTGTCTCAGATCTAGAGGGAGTCAACATTGTTCCTGACACCGACCTCAACAATGAGCCTGATGAGTCTGCAAAGGAAAGGAATTGAAAGAGGAAAGGAAAAATGGTTACATCCTACACAAAGGGGGACAAGAAGAGGTATGGCACCAGGAGTGAGATGCAGAAGGTCATGGGAAGTGCCATAACAACAAATGTAATTCAAACGGAAAGGGCTAGGAAGAGAAGAATAGAAGGTTATCTACCTGAAGAACCCACTTCAACCCCTTTGCATGTTAGGTCCAGTGATACAGAGTCTGATGATGTTGTTGTGTATGTAGCAAAAAGAAGAAAGAAAGCAGAGGTTGATAGGGTCAAATGAAAGGGGGTTCAGAAATCAACAAAAATATCTCTTGTAAAAAAAGTGAGTAAAAGGGCTACTGAGCAGTAAAAACCAATCAAGGTACCATGTCCTCGTATTCAAAATCCAGTAGAAGAAAAATAGATGACCATGGAAGTACGAATAGCAGAAATGGAGAATCAAAAGGTGCTAAAAGGCAGAGTCTTCGATCCTGATATTCTTACCGGACTTGGAATGTCCACTCTCTTTGATTCAGTTTCCTGCAAAGTTGGGATCATTTATTTGAACCCCAGCACCATACTTGTTTGAACCTGAAGTGCACGAATTTTACTATAAGATGGAGCTTCTAGATAATGGAGGAATCATGACTACAGTCAACAATGTCAAAATCCATCTAGATGAGGAAACTCTGGGGATTATTCTAGGTGTCCCTGTGAGGGGGATCCGGTCCATTGAAGGATACAAACGCTCAAGTGAGTTCACTAAACATGTTACAAAGAGGGGGGGGACATTAAGCGAGCATGTTTGTCAAAGAAATTTTTGAAGGGGGAATACCAACTATTCTTTGAGTTCATTAATAAAGTACTAGTACCAAGGATAGAGAAGCAAATTGTAGCATCTGATGCTGACCTATTTCTCATGGAAAAGCTGGATGAACTTGAGGAGATCAATCTTCCTGCTATAATGCTTGAACATATGCACAGGGTGATGACTTGAAAGTTAGCCAAACATGGCATCCCTTATGGCTACTTGCTAAACTATGTGTTCAAACATTTCGAAGTATCTCTTAGACGAGGAGAACCAAGTACAGTCAAGTAAATGTTTATTGATGTTACTCTTTTGGAGTGTGAATGTGTTGAAGGGAAAGCTAATGGTAGGTCTCAAGTAGTGAATCTTCTAGAGCAGCAAGCCTCTCTTAAACGAGAGTTAACTGACCTCACTGTGATCTTGAATTATAAGGAAGTTGAGATTGCGCAACTGAAATCTATGTTGCAGAAGTCTGTCTCGAAGGGACCTGGTACCGGTGATGTGGATGAGCAAGTGGTGCAGAAATTGAGAGCTGAGAATGAGCAGCTGCTGAAGACAAATGCCTCACTCAGTGAAGAAGTCAAAGCTCTCAACAAGTGAGTCATTCAGGCTCATGAGGCTGCAAATGAGCGGACGGTTTCATTGGTAACAGAAAAGACTTACTCTATAGGGTAATGCGAACCCTTACTCCCCTTTTCCCTCTATCCTAAACGAGTCTAGTCTCCCTGGTTTCTCCTTTATTGTGTCAAAACTCTAGTGGCTATGTGTACTGTTTTGGCTGACTCTTGTGGTCAACTTTTGTGATCTAATGCTAGTGTTCAGTATGCCTTGATATTCTTTTTATGCTTATATGTACATGTTCTGTGTGGCCCATGACCTTGAATTCTTAAATGTTTTGCATTCAACTCATATATGTTTACTGCTATTCCTTTTCAATGATGTCAAAAGGGGGAATTTTTGGGTGAACTGTTGTGAAATTAGAAGGGAACTGAACTAAGAGGAAAGAACAGTGATAGGGGGAATTAATATATTTTTGAATGAATGCTTAACACTCAAGTGAGCTTGCTTGTAGGTTGTTTGTAATCATAAAAAAGAGGGGAATTGATAAGTCTTAATATTCCCAGTTGTTTTGATGATCTCCTCACAAGGGAAGGGACCCGGTCCTTTGCAGAGTATGCTCGTCCAGGACCATATGCTATACAACTGGAAAGTTGTTCGCGTCAGAAGTTTGTGAGGTCGTCAGAGTACTACACCAACCAGAAGGGACGAGGTTGTTTGTCCAATGTGTATTAACTCTTGATGTTTGATATATTCAAGATAACAAACAACAAATTCATTCATTCATTCAAAGAGAGATATAGAAGCTTCAAAACAACAAGGGACCTAATAGATTATATTATTGCTTCCTGAATCAGCTGTTACTTTGATTGCTTGTATTTGTGCGTATATTATAGGAATCGTTTCGCTTGTGATAGAAACATTTCAAACTTGGATGAATCATTGTAAGAACTTAGTTGTGGGAAACTTAGTGTCTTACTTCAAAGTCTATATTAATCAGTTGGGTTAGTATAGTGGGCAATGCATGCATTGCTTTGGCTCATTGAGTGATAGTGTATTACTCAGGAAATAGATTAGTAGGTTAATCTCGTGTGTGTTGTAAATTGGGTTTTACTTTGGCTTGTGAAGTATAGTAAAAGTAGTTTGAAAAGTCCTGTAAGAACATGTCGTGATTTTACTCCCTTGAGCAATGTGGTTTCCATGTAAAGATGTGTGTACCATCTTTACTTTCAGTACTTATTTGCTTTCTGTTATTGTAATTGTGTTAAAGAGTTGGTCCTATCGTAACTAAGTGGACGCATACATTCCAACAATTACTCTAAGCAATAACTCTATTTCCCACTAAACCAACTAGGTCTAGTCAATCTAGACTTCAAGAACCCAACAAGGCTTACTCTAGCCACCAACGCAGATCTCAAAGATAAGAAAAGAAACAAACTGCAACTCTACTGCACTCATACATCAATTAACTCCAGTTGACACTCTTAGGCAGCTCTTGTTGGAGAACTATATGCACAACGGAGGCATACCTAAATTATACTGCTTACATGAATAACAAACAACACACAGTTTATGCTAGAACACACAAACTTTATGAAATTTAATTCAAGATTTAACTCTTGAAGCGTGAGCAGATACCTTCAAGCTAATCCACAAGCTAGAACCTTAGCTTCAAACGAATCCACAAGCTAGTTTACAAACTGGACCATAGTCTGCGGTCTTCTACAATGATCCCAAATTCACTTCGAACTTTCAATACTTGGGTGGGAAAGTATCGTATATCAAACTTTTTTTTTTCTTCAAGGATTAGAAGAATCCCTATTTATAGAGATTTTTTCCTAGTCCAAGGAGGAGAAGAAACACACAGTCTTTCCTTAGAATAGAAAAAGACATGTACTTCTCCCTTTCCTTAGATTATAAAAAGATACATATGTACTTCTCTCTTTCTTTAGAATAGAAAAAGACACATACTTCTCCCTTTCCTTAGAATAGAGAAAGACACATACTTCTCTCTTTTCCCCTTAGAATAGATTTTGAGTTCTAGTTAAATATGGGCACGATAGGGACCACAAAATTAATTGTTGAGACTTTCTATTATGGAAATAATTCTAAATAATTAATTTGAATTATTTTTACCATAATAAATTACATATCATTTCATTAGAAATTCGTAATTGCACTCCCTTATTTATATTTCGAAATTTCACATTAAACACATATGTAATTCCCCATGTTAAGATTATAGATACTAATCAATAAATTAAATTACTGACGAATTTAATTCAATGATCAATTTCCTTTAGAGCACTACTTAACTTTTTTCATGTGTCAGATTCATAATCCACTTGCAAGGTTTGAGACGACGAAAACTTATAAGCTTCTCAAAAAGGCGCATCATCAATCTCTATATCGAGACATGGATTCCGTCAACTAACTTATTATTTCACCAATATATATTATCATCATCCAATCTATCAGACATATTGACCCATCTTAGAATCTCACATTTTAATAAATCAAAATGATAATTAATATATACAGATCATAATAGTTATATCAGGATTAAGAATATGAATACATTTAATAGTTTAGAGGATATGCTTTTGTCAGCCAGTCTAAAGCAACTATCTCTACTCGGTCCCGTTCAATACATACAAAATTCACTAGCACAAGAAGTTGGAACTATACTATTCCCATAATCAAGATAAACTACATATAATCTTGTGCTACAATCATACCGATGACATGTCCGATTCCCATCTTAGATTGTGAACAAAAAACATTATACTTATAAGAATCGATGATTTAATCCTCTGTGGATAAGCTTAAACTTTATACACTAAATCATCTACTATATAATTAAACAAACATCATAAACAAATATATGATCTATTAAAAATGAATAAATAATTATTCTACAATAAATACTATACCTAAACAAATAGTTAATAGTATATATCCCAACAACTCTACCCAAGAGAACATCAAACCAATGATGTAAAGAGGCTTGACTAAAACATAGATGATTCGACTAGCTAACTCTAGTTAATCCGACTCAAACTAAAGACTTAGACGAGCAACCGATCTACTATCCTTTATAACTTAGAAGTAGATTTATAATATAAGAACACTAAACACAATGCTCAAAATACAACAAAAGACACTACAACACTCCATCAGGTCCCTCGTTGAGTATGAACAATAATGTTCTTCCTTGAAGATGACATTTTCTTTGTGAGCTTATAAATTATCAGAATTTAAAAACTTTATTTGCCAAAACTTGGGTTGTGTCATTGGAGAAGAGACTACTTTAATTTGGACACAAACCCTTGCAGCAAAGTCATTGGCTGAGAGCCTGCAACTCTAAAAAGAAGTTCACCAACCACAACAGGTTTGACAAAGTTGCAGCTTTTAGACAACTGTCTTTTTCACTCTCAGTCTCTCCTGGACCTGGTCCCTTATTAGATCCTGAAGTTTGTTAAATCATCAAAACTTCAAATCAGCTCCAAAATAACAAAATTAACTTGAAATAATAAATTAATCAATGAAAAAACAAGATAGGACCTTAATAGGAATGGACGAGCAGAAAGAATCTTAGACTCTAACTTGATCTTTCTTGTAATTTTAGATTTGCATTAATCCTTTTGATGCTTTTGAATTTACTTAGGCTTGAGGAACGGAAGTCAGAACATCAAAATTCATTGGCTAATAGGCCATTTCATGTCAGAAAACCATTGGTTAGCTCATTGATGAGAAGTGTTAAAAAGAAGGCTTGATAAGAGTTCTGAAAAAGTAAGTCGCCGGAGAAAATCAATTCGTGTACATCGTGTAACTGATAAGCAAACAAAAGATCAATCTGTTGCATCAAACAAGAAAGTTCTTGATCCTCAGGGGAGATTTCTTCAGCAATGGAACAAAGTATTTATATGGGCTTATATATTTTCGGTGTCACTTGATCCGTTGTTTTTATACACTCCTGTTATTGATAACAAAAGTAAGTGCCTAGATTTGGACAACACGTTAAAGATCACTGCTTGCGTTCTACGTTCTATCACTGATCTTTTCTATGCCTTTCACATAATCTTGAACTTTCGTACTGGCTTCATTGTTCCTTCTTCTCGAGTTTATGGAAGGGGTGAGTTGGTTGAAGATTCCTCAGCTATAGCCAAGCGATATTTGTTATCTTATTTCATCGTTGACGTTGTAGCAGTCCTTCCACTCCCACAGGTTCGTGTCTCAAAAACCCTTTTTTTAGCACTCTCTTAACTTAAGAGAGTATGATTAACCTTGTTTTTGTGCAGATTGTGATATTGATTATCGCTCCCAACATGAACGGCCCCATTTCTCTGGCGACGACAGATATGTTGACGATTGTAGTTTCTGCTCAAAATGTTCCAAGATTTTTTAGAATTATTCCATTGTACAAAGAGGTAGAAAGGACTACAGGCTTCTTTAGTGGAAGTACATGGAGTGGAGGTGTTTTTTACCTTTTCCTCTTCATGTGGTTCAGTAATGTAAGTTCCCTTTCAATAAATAGATGAATCAACATTACATAAAAGATAGAGATAATGATAAAACACACATCGAAACTATCACTTTTTCGCGAGTTTCACACCCTAACTATTAGTTGTACCCTTTTCCTACCTGAACTATCACAATCAATGTATTAAAACACACCTAGTTGATCAGTAGATGATGATAGTTTAGGTAGGAAAAGGAAACTATTTATAGTTGGGGTGTGAAACTCCCGAAAAAAAAAGCGATAAGTCAGATGTGTCTTTGACCATTAACTAATCAGGGATATGGACATTTCATTCTTGAACAAAAGTCCGCTTAAATAGGTGCAAATTAAATGTGTGATCTCAGGTAACTGGAGCCTTTTGGTAATTGTTCTCAATAAAACGCCAATATATATGCTGGCGCAATGCGTGTGACAAGATCCCCAACTGTTTGTCAGACTACTTACATTGTGGAGGAAAAATGAATGGAAATGCTTTATTACTGAACTCTTCTTGCCCTCTCCTAAAACAAGAAGATATAAAAGATCCAAATGACTTTGATTTTGGAATTGCACTTGATGCTCTTCAGTTTAAGGTTGTGGAAAAAGGAAAATTACGGACCAAACTCTTGTTTTGCTTTTTGTGGGGGCTGAGAAACTTAAGGTGTGTTCACTTTTATTATGGTAATACATTACATATGGATTCTGTTGTATTTCAGGTGTTTTGAAGATTCTCACAAATGTAGGGACCCGGTCCCTAGCAGGCTTGTTTGAGTTTTTAAAAGGTGTGAATATAAAATGAAGAGGTTCGATTTTTATGAATAGTTGTGATTTTAATGAAAATGTTGCGACTTTTATGAAGAGTTGTGACTTTTATGAAAAGTTGTGACTTTTTGGAAAGGTTGTGACCTTTTCGAAGGGTTGTAACTTTTCAAAGGGTTGTGACATTTCCGATTAAGGCACAATAAGCATATGTTCACACTACCATTTGTTGTCTATAAATAGAGGGGTTTTCTCTCATTTTAAAACAACCAATTTTTCGGACTTCTACTACTAAATCTAATATTCTAAGTCGTTGAATTGTTCGTTAACATCGTGGTTTTAGGTACTGATGATACAACGGTGAGTAAGATCGTTCTATCCTGGGAGATATATTTCATTAACCTCGGGTACCTGAAGGGAATAATCTCCTTAAGGGGACACTGTGCATTCAGTGGGCTCAATTTTCTTCTTTAAGAAAAATATTTTGTATATTGTTTCTAATCTGTTTCTGATTCAATTTTCTCTACTGGTTTTAGTTTTCTAGCTTTGAAAATACTCTTTAAACTTTATTGTTTCTTATCAAGTTTTTCAAAGTTTTTGTTCTAAGTATCTTAGGAATATAGGATGAATTAAAATATTAAGGAAATTATTATATTGTTGGTATTTCTTGTATTCTACTGATAAGTAGAATATTAATGCACTACTTCTCCGAAATTCGATACACTGTTTAGAAGGGTAGAAGTGAGAATGTACCAGAAAAATTGGCGGTATTCCGGTTAAAGATTACACCAGGTAACCTTCTTATTATTTATCTAAGGATAAAAATAGTTTCTAAAAGTTAACTCTTGATATTTATCACGTGTATTTTCGAAAAAGATCTGCACCATATGTTTTTGAATGAACTTTCCTTGGCCAATAGTGTTGCCTTTAAAATTCTTTAGTTTACAGAATGAGATATTCATATTGTAGTTTGATAAGATAGTATGTCAAAATGTTATAGTTGAAGGCTATTTGAAAAGAAAAGCATAGCTATGTGATGATCTAAGCATTTGTTTTATTCTATTTGGTAACTAAAAAAAACTTTTGTAATTTTGTATTCCGTGTGAAATTTGATTGTGTATGATTTTTGTAGACTAAAACCTTTTATAGTTTTCTACTCTAGGTAAAATTAGACTATGCACTTGGTTTGAAAAATATGAAAACTTCACCTAATAAGTCAGTGTTGTACTTTTGGTTTTATATAAACTTCACTGTTAAATAGAAACAAATTGTACATTTTTTTGTCTTTATCGTTAGTATTCTAAATACTGAGTGGTATGTCTAATTGTGATAGAAAAAAGACCAGTGACTTAGAATTCATGATTTTTTGCCTCTATGAAATGAACTTTGACATTGTGTAAAGATTGTCAAAGGAAATTGAAGCATTTTAATTATTTTGTAGAATAATATGTTCAAAAGAGGTTTCATATTGCCAATGACATTTTGAAAGTATGAGAAAAAGTATGTGGAAAAACAATTTTTAAATACTCGAAAAATATTTTTGAGATCATATTTAATATGTGGGTGTTCTTTGCTTATGATAAAGATAAAATTAGACTTAGGGGTCATTTGGTTTGAATTCAAGTTATGATGGGATAAGTTATGATAGATTAGTTATGATGGGATAAGTTATGCTAAGATTATTTTTTATTGAGTGTATGCTAAGATTATTTTTTATTGAGTGTTTGGTTTGTTGTATTCAAAATAATAAACTTTAAGAACAACATATAAGTTTACAAAAATACCCTTCATGAATGTGAAAGTAATGTATAAAAAGTGTTTTAAGGGATATTTTTGTCATTTAATCATTTTATCCCGGGATAAGTTATCCCGGGATTACTATACCACCCATGGGAAGGGATAACTTATCCCGGTAGTAATTATTAATCCCAGGATAAGTTATCCCGGACTTGCCAACCAAACAACAAATTAAGTGGTACTATAATTTAATCCTAGGACTATTTTAAGTTATCCTTCACACCAAACGATCCCTTAGTGTCTAATTTAAGTTTATAGTACATGATATGAAATTCAATGATACTTTTGTATTATGTTAGACGCACAAAATTCTTGTAGTATATTTGATATTGTGGAGTTTCTCTTTTACTAGTATATGGTATGACTAGTATGAAACTACCAAATTTTATATATATTTGTTCAAAATATTGTGTTCTTTTATGAAAGAGTATCACTTAAAATATTGTAATTTTTCATGAAAAGATATGTCTGTTAAAATATAACTATTGATATAGACATGAATATTGGTGAATAGTCATTTGTCATGTTTTGTAAAAGAAGCATTTGAATTATATTGCCTTTATTGGATTCGATGAAACTATGTTCATGGGTAACAGTTCTATAACAATCAAATTGAAAGTTATGGAAAGGTCCTTCTGAAAAGGACATTTGACAAGGTGCTGACTCTAAACAATGTTTGTATCACACAAAATTGTAAGAAGTAAGAATAAAATATTTGTGAGAAAAATCTACCTCACGGAGAGCTTTTCAAACTCAATATTTTATTTGTTATTACTTGCTTGAGTCAAACTGTTTGTGACATGAACACTTGGGACATGTCAATTACAAAACCTTGCAAGCAAAACTGATCAACTTAGAAGTTTTGTCTAACTTTGAGTGCAATAAATAAAAATGTCAAATCTGTGTTGAATCTAAGTATGCTAAGCATTCTTATAAATCTGTTGAAAGGAATTTTAATCCCTTAGAGTTGATTTATACTGACATTTTTTATATGAAGTCAACACCATCTCGTGGTGTGAAAAAGTATCTCATAACATTTATTGACAATTGCATTAGATACAATTATGTCTATTTGCTGAATGATAAGGATGAAACAATAGAAACATTAAGGCAATATAATATTGAAGTTGAAAATCGGTTGGGTAAAAGATAAAAAGTGATAGGGAAAGAGAGTATAAGTCTTCTTTTGCATAAGTATGTTTGGAAATTTCCTATCCACCTCAATCTAATGGAATTGTAGAATGGAAAAAAAACCAAACTTTGAAGGAAATGATGGCTACATTACTTATAAGTTCATGTTTACCACAAAACTTGTGTGGAGAAGCTATCCTTACAGAAAAAGGGAACAACAAAAAGTTGTCTTTTCAGAAAAAACAATAAAAAGTTTTGTTTGTTTAGGACACAATCTATTCTATATGAGAAATGAAAAGATAGGAAATTCAACTTGAAATATTTCAAAGTGTGGGGGTGTCTAGCCAAAGCCCAAGTTCCTATCTCTAAAAGGATTAAAATAGGACCTAAGACTGTGGACTGTAAAATTAGAACTTGAGTAGTCTAGTGAAGGGTCTAAAAGACCTTGGAAAGAATGAAAATAGAATGTACTTAATAAAGAGATTCAAAGGCGTAGTAAATGTCAAAAGACATCTACTCTCTTCGGATATGATTTTGTAACATTTCCTATGTCTTTTTTGGACTCATCCTTTTGGAAAGATGGGGTTAATAGTGAGAGTTATTCAATCTTGAGCAACCACATTGAAAGTTGATTGATCTTCCTCTAGAAAATAAACCTTTGAGTTCAAAGTAAATCTTCAGAATAAAAATAAAAGTCGATGGAACTGTTGACAAATACAAAGCACAACTTTTTTCAAAGACTTTAGATAATAGGTCTTGATTTTTTCGACACATACTCGCCAGAAACTAGAATTAGATTCATTCGGATGTTAATTACATCAGCTGTGGTATATGACCTCCAAATTCATCAAATGAATGTGAAGGAGGAAGACATTTACATGGAACAACCCGAGGTTTTTGTGGTTCCTGGTAAAGAAATGAAAGTGTGCGAACTTGTTAAGTCACTTTATGAACTAAAACAAACACCCAAACAATGTCATAAGAAATTTGACCAAACCTTATTGGCAAATAGATATAAGAGTGATGGAAGTGATAAATGTGTTTACATTAAAATCACAAGGTCACTGTTTGTTTGTATATTGATGACATGTTGATCATCAATAGAGACAATAATGACATAAATGCTACTAAACATATGCTAGAAAGCAACTTTGATATGAAAGATCTTGGAGTTGCTGACGCGAACTTAGGTATAAGAATCCTTAGAACTCCATAATCTTTAGCATTGTCACGGTCTCATTACATTTAAAAGGCACTTGACTAGTTCAAATATTTGGATTTTAATATTGTCAAGACTCCAATAAATGTGAGCGTTGCACTTCAAAAGAATGAAGGTAACAATGACTCACAATTGGATTACACTAGAGTACTATTTGGAAGTATGATGTATATCCAGAAGTGTACACGATAAGATATAACATGTATTATTAGTAAATTGAGCCAGTTCACGAGTAATCTCAATCGAAGTCATTGGATGACAATGAAAAGAATTTTGGGGTATTTAAAACATACTCAAAACTATGTCTTGCATTATAACAAATATCTAGCAGTATTGAAAGGATATAGTGATGCAAACTGGATCACCATATCAAATGAAGTTAAATCCACAAGTGGATATGTATTTACTCTTGGTGGAGGAGCAGTCTTGGAAATATTTCAAACAGACATGTATCACTAGCTCTACAATGATCTCTGAGCTTCTCGCTTTAGATAAGGCCAGTGAATAAGTTGAAAGACTCTGGAATTTCTTGATAGATATTCTCTTTTGTCCCCAACCTTTGGCATCAGTACGCATACACTTTGATAGTCAAGATGCACTAGGTAGGGCATGAAGCATGATGTATAACATAAAGTCTTGTCATCTAAGACGTAGACATAATACCGTTAGAAAACTACTCTCTAATGAAATTATCACAATTGACTATGTAAAGTCAAAGGATAATATGTCAGATCCACTTACAAAAGGCCTAATTAGAGAGGTAGTTGAAAGATCATCTAAGGTAATGAGTTTATGGCTTAGGAAAAGTCATCATGGCGGTAACTCTACCTAGCAGACTGTAGATCCCAAGAGCTATAGGAACAAGGATAAAACATTAAGGCATATTAATGAGTTAATAAAGCTTAAAGTTTTTAATAATTTTCTAAGTTTGGCAGATTTGACCAAATAACGTATCTACGCGATAACACGTGTTAGAAATGACCTATATGAGTGTGAAGTGGAAGCCGCTTCAAAGAGAATCATTGTAAAAAGCCTATTCTTTATACACTCATGAAATCGTGAGGTGTTCATGGCTGAAATGAACACAACCGTATGAACCATAAATGGTAAAGGGTTGATTGTGTGACATACGGTTGTTGTCTAGTTATATACCAAAGCTTGACGGTTCAAAGATATCAAATCTACCGATTGACCGAGTATTTTCGACATATGTTTGCTATAGAAAGTTCAAGGGAAGCCTACTTATCCATAAGCAATTAATTCTTTCTTGTAAAGTACACACTTGTTTGTTTCTTTGTCTTGGAATCATTCCCCATTCATGCGGGGGAGATTGTCGGGTTTTTAAAAGGTGTGAATGGAAAATGAAGAGTTGTGACTTTATGAAGAGTTGTGATTTTAATGAAAAAGTTGCAACTTTTATGAAGAGTTGTGACTTTTATGAAAAGTTGTGACTTTTGGAAAAGGTTGTGACTTTTCTGAAGGGTTGTAACTTTTCAAAGGGTTGTGACATTTTCAATAAGGCACAATAACCATTTATTCACACTACCCTTTGTTGTCTATAAATAGAGGGATTTCCTCTCATTTTAAAACAATCAATTTTCTAGACTTCTACTACTACTACTACTAAATCTAGTATTCTAAGTGTACTTTACTGCCGTTGAGTGGTTCACTGACACCATGGTTTTAGGTACTGATACACCGGTGAGTAAGATACACCGGTGAGTGGTTAATAACTCTTGTTGATGATTGCTATATTCAACAAAAACTGTCACGCCCCGAGCCTACACCCTGGGCGGGACCGGCACTCGGAGACCATTGCTGGCCCCAAGCGAACCCTTGGCCTGGCTTTCTTAACTTAGCGGAAACCTACTAAACAAAATAACTCAATGCTATGCAGAGGCATAAACAACTTAAATGATACATATCTGGCCAAAAAGGCAACTCGAGTCTCAAAATAGAATACTTACATATATACATAGATAAGAGACTCAAAACTAACTGACTGACTGTCTATTAAGCCTCTAAAATACTTAGATGGATGTTGGGACAGACCCCACAACACCCTAATCAACAAAACTAATAGAACAAAATAACTGAGCCCTTTGGAAGCAAGGAGGCTCACCACTGACTCTAGAGTGCCCAACTGGATCAACGGCGTGCAGGGTGCTGATCCTGGGTACCTGCGTCTGCATCATAAAACGATGCAGGCCAACTGGCATCAGTACGTGGAATGTACGAGTATGCGAGCTAGACCGCTAAAAAAAACAACTTAAGCTTGAAAAGGGAACAAGAGATCACTTACCTTGACTCTGAACGACTCATATACATAACTGGACTCAAAGTAAAACAATGAGACACGAGCCACACATATAAAGCTTGTAAAAGAATGTAAACAACTTAGATCGTTAAGGATAAAATGACAACAAACTCCACTTTTCTTTTATAAACATAAAACAGCTTTTGTGGGAGGTTCTTTAACCGACAACCACCACTACGAGCCTTAGTGATGATACAACGTTTTACCTCACGTTGCCAAAGGACCATCCTATACCTTGCCATCGATATAGGACCTTACTTTTGCTTAGTGGATCCACTAGCCTAATCTTGCGTGATCATCTAAAAAGAATGATACGACAAGTCCCATGTTGGCGCATGGTTCTTAGGGAGAGTTGAGTTAATATGAACTCGTGTCCCCCAATTCGGTGCTCAATACTACTCCCAAAATTACTTTGGCTCATGCTTTTAAAATAACTTCTTTCTTTGATTGAGATAATTACTCAAAACTTTAGCCCAAAGGCTCCTTTGGGGAAAGAAAACATGATTCCCTTTTTATTCAAATATAATAGCATTTACGACCTCCTTTGGGAATACTTAGTTCCCTAATAACTTTTTTTTTTTTTTTTTTGAAGAGAATTCAACTTTAAATTCATGACTTAGCTTGAAACTAAGACTCTTACTCGACTTGAAACTTCACTTGACTTGGAACTATCTTTCCTTGAATTGGAATTATGAATTCAAGGTGTTCGATCACATGTTATGGAAGGATTCTTGAACGCTTAGACGCACTTTGGAACGTCGAAAACAACTATAAAACATAGGTAAATTACTTTGAAACATGTATGAGAAAGTGAGAAAAGAAGAGGGGAAACTTGGCTGAGACTTCAGATTTCTGGTGACACAGATGGGACTTACGGTCGCCATCGACGGACCGTAGATGGACTTACGGTCCGTACTGCAGGTCCGTAGATTGCGTCAGAGATTTTCCCCAAAATTTCATTTAAGAAAAAGACTAAGTGTTGGCCTACGGTACGGACTTACGGTCCGTAGGTCAGGTCACGGACCGTAGGTCGCGACCGTAGATCGACGCCCCATAACCCCAACTTCTGTCCCAATCGACGGTTGACCAGTACTGACCGTTGATCTATCTACGGTCCGTAGGTCAGTCCCGTAGATGGGGATCGACAGCCCAGAAACTTCTGCAAATCGATGGTGGATCAACCTCTAAAGGGTCATAGCTCTTAGAATCATAATCCCCTCAACATACAATAGGTTTCAACTTAAATATACGACCCAATCATGTCTCACAACGTACAATAAATTCAACAACACCACCAACAACCTCAACAACAACTAACAACTAACAACTTCAACACTTCAATAACAAACTCCCAATCTTTTCTCAAAGCAAGGAATAAACTTGGGGTGTGTGGGGGAAAGGATCAACCCACACGGAAAAACTCACATACCTTGATAGGGATCACCCCCGACGAATTTCCACAATGGTCTTGACAAATCTCCTCTTTCTTCTCTTCTTCTTCTTCTCCTTCTTCTCTTCTTCAATCACAAGAACCCTAACTCTTTCTCTTACCAAAAATGGGACAAAAATGATCCAAAGATCATCCTAATACAACAATATGAGCTCAAAAGAATTGGCTAGGGAAAAGACTAAAATGCCCTTAATGATTCCCGGACGGATCTCCTTGTCAACTGCCCAACTTTCGAAGGTCATAACTCCCTCATACGAACTCGGAATCGAGCAAACTCGGCGGCGTTGGAAAGGTCGTTCCACGAACTTTGCAACCATAACTGGAATTCCACCTAACTCATCCTGAGCTAGAATTTATGGCTGTTCAAAGTTGGCCAAAATTTCACATTTTCCATACTTAGCCAAAATTTCCAAAACTTTAAATTCTTTCCAAAAAAAATGAAAATTTCCAATTCTAAGCCTCTTCAATTATTTCATATTGCCGGATGTTACAAAAACAAACAACAACTATTAATTCATTCATTAAAAAAGGGAGTCATTGAATCGTTTCAAGTACTCAAGCATTAAGAACATACATTGCAAGGGACCTGATAGACTGAAGAAGAGCAAATCTCGAAGTGCAGTTGTTTTGAATGCTTGTATTGTGCTAAAATTGTAGGATTCATTTCACATTCATATAGAAACATATCAAAGTCTTTTGTGTGTATTGATTGTAGGGAAAATGCATAAGTACCCCCCTAGCCTATACCTGAAATTCCAGAGACACACCTAACCTTTACTAAGGTCCTATTACCCCTCCGAACTTATTTTATATGTAATATTCTACCCCTTTTTGGCCTACGTGGCACTATCTTGTGGGCCCAACGCATGTTGACATTTTTTTCAAGGATAGTGCCACGTAGGCCGAAAAGGGGTAGAATATTATAGATAAATTAAGTTCGGGGAGGTAATAGGGCCTTAGTAAAGGTTAGGTGTGTCTCTGGGATTTCGGGCATAGGCTGGGGGTACTTAAGTATTTTCCTTTGATTGTAAGAAGAGTTAATTGTGTGTCTTATGTGTTGAAGTCTATATTGATTAGAGATAGTTAATATATAGTGGGAAACCGATGCATTGATTTCGCTCAATAAGTAATAGAGTCATTACTTAGTGTGAGATTAAGAGTTTAGTCTCATTGTTGTATCTGGAGTCTGTATTCACTTTTGCTTGTGATTAGTGAAAGCAGTTGAAAATCATATGTGACAGGTCATGGTTTTACTCCCTTGAGCAAGAAGGTTCCACGTAAAACTTCTTGTTCTCATTGTTGATTGTTTTAACCTCTTACTACATTCTCTTTGTACGTTTGACCTGGTACTACATCACACTGGTGGACGCATACATTCCAACAGATTCCATTAGTTCCATTGAAGTAACGAAATGTAGCCAACTGTAGGTCATGATGTGCCTTGAGATGGCTTAAGTTACTCTGTTGAGTAACTTCCATAATTCTATAACTATTTCTTCTTACATGTTTCAGTTCTCTTGGCCAAAACCTTAAGACAAGCACCTTCGATGGAGATATTATCTTCACCATCTTCATCTCAATTATGGGGCTTATCTTGTTTTCCTTGATTATTGCCAATCTGCAGGTTAGCACATGCACTCACCCTTTATCAAACAATGTTCTAAAATGTTGTCCGGACTCTGCAAAATATCTAGAATGAAGTTTGAGTAATTTGTGTTGTTTTTTTTTTAACAGAAATTATTTCAATTTGACCTGATTAGAGTAGAAGAAATGAGAGTGAGAAGGGGGGATGTAGAACAGTGGATGTCTCATCGCATGCTTCCCAACAATCTGAGAGAGAGAATTAGAAGACATGAACAATACAAATGGCAAGAAACAAAGGGAGTTGAGGAAGATTCACTCATTCAAAATCTTCCTAGAGACTTGAGGAGAGATTTAAAGCGCCATCTCTGTTGGTCTTTGCTAAAAAAAGTAAGTACTTTTTGATCACATTTATAACTATCCTTGTCCAACTTCATCATTTGTTGTGTCGAAATGGTGTTTTATCTGGTAAAGAAATATGAAACTTGAGCAACCAAAGAATGTTGTTCCCCCTATTTCATTTACTAATTTCTGGATTGCACGTGTACCCATCTAAATTGACATAAATTGTTTCAAATTATCATTGTATCAAAAATAGTGTTATAATTAAATTATATGAATATCATTCATTTTCAAACAAAAAATAGTTCAAATATTTGGAATCTACTCTTGGATACCAATAGTAAATTATAATATGACAACAAAGTATCTCTTCTCCAAATGAAATAAAAGATAATAATATTTAGTACTTTAAAATACTATAATTATAAACACAAATTAATATATGTATATTCTTATCTCAAATATTAATTACCTACAAGACAATGTTCAGAGAAAAGAAGAAAGACAAAAATGAAAAGAATTTGACAGTCACTTCTTAAAGTTAATTAAAATAAAATGAAGGCTACAATTATTAATCAATATTTTTTATTATTATTAAGGGATCATATCAAGTATTGGATCCTACCAAATTAATTTTTCAAAAATGAGCTTTGAATACAGTAACATAGCATCAACGGAGTGACAACTTAAAATATGAAACGGTACCAAAAGTTGAAACATTGAATTTGCCTTTCTCAAAGTGAGACAAAAGGATAAATAAATAAGGATAAACATTTATATCATTATTTATTCCGTAATTAAAGAAGTTATTAATAATTTAATCATACGTTACTTTATCCATTTCAAATTATTCATTGTGTTTCAATCTTGTACACCCCTTCTGATATTATTTTTTTTGATAAAAATGTAGTTTTATATATTCTATCTTACACATCTCTTATAAAAAAACAAACATAAATAAGTAATTAATAAAATCATAAGAACAAATTAAATAACTTTTATTATCAATTAATATAGTACAATAATTTAATCGTTAAAAAGATCAAGTAAATTATAATTATTTTTTTTTACAAATTACATCACACAAGTATATTAGTAAAGAGTCATGATCTTATATTTCGATGCATGACCCTTTATTTTACATTCAAAGAAGGAAACTATGTACTAAAAAAAAAAACATATTCTTCTTGAATTCACCTTTGTTCTTCTAAAGAAAGAACAAAAATAGTGCTTTGTTCATCCCTAAAGAAGTTGATTCCCCCCCAAATCTTAGCTTGCCCATTCCTTGTAAATCACATGATGTTGTTTACTCCAATATTTTCCATATTTATAGATGACAAATGTAGGAATAATCCAAAAATTATAAGAGAATGTTTATAGTCAAGAGTTCGATAAGTACAAATCAGATATAAATGCATGAAAACATCAACAATCTTTCTTGGATAACGTGACATGTTGCTAATACATTAACCATATTAAATTGCTTGTAAATTTCAAAATAACCTTTGAAATTCCTAAAAAAGATCTGTTATTTTTTTTTGTGCATTGAAACATTAATGATTGCGTAATAATTTAGTTTCGAAGCATAAGTTATTAGAGGAACAATGCTAATTTAGTGAATGAAAAATGGTCATTTTTTAAAGAATTTTAACTTTTTTTGTTCCTACTTATAGTTATATATATGATATGATATGATATGATATATGATATGATGATGATATGATATGATGACATTTGACTAAAATGGAGTTTACGAAAGAACAAGTAACTTTTGGCACATTCGAGAAGTACCCTTAGTCCTAAATATGTCATCACATTTTTATGGCTATGAGCATGTCATTAAGGTAAAATGGAAAGTTTAAAGTACAAGAGTTCTGAAATATAGAGACGTGTCATTCTTTTCTAGAACAGAAGAAGTATTAAATATGAATGAAACCTTATCAAACCACATTAAATTTTCAATCAATCAATCAACTATATATCAAGCACAAACTAGTAGGGAACTTGTTATTTTTTCTGAACCGTCTCTGAAGTTTTGATGATTTAATAAATTTTGGACCTAATCCCAAATGAAACTAAGAGTTCTGTACATGTAAAAAGACAATTGTCCAAAAGCTGTAGTCTGCTATGGTTGGTGCACATCTTTTAGCAGAACAACAGACTCTCATCCAATGGCAGTGCTCCAAGGATTTGTGTTCATCTTATATTAGCCTTTTCTTTAACAACAAAAATCAGTTTTTCTTAATCCAAAAAAAAAAAATCACAAGTTCAAAAAGGCAAAGGTCATTCTCTCAAGGAATATTATTCGGAAGAACAACAAGGGACCTAATAAAGTTATCATTGTTCTTAGTTGTCTTGCAGGTTTGTATTTCTGTGCTTATCATGTGTAGATCTATTCCAGTGTTATAATAGAATTAGATCGGTTGCTTGTCTGAGTTTTTAGCTTTGAGTCATATTAACTAGAGTTTGTTAGTCGAATATGCTATATTCTAGTCAAGTATCTTTTCGTTTTTTGTTTGTTGTTCTTTTGGGTAGAGTTGCCTAAAAATGTCAACTAGAATTAGTTGTAGTGTGGATGTAGTAGAGTTGCTGCTTGTTTCTTCTCTTATCTTTGAGCTATGAGTTGGTGGCTCGAGTTAGCCTGTTGGGTTCTTGAAGTCTAGTTCGACTAGAGCTAGTTGGAATTTAGTGGGCAATAGAGTTATTGCTTAGCTTTTTCTTGTAGTAGAGTTGCTACAGTAAGGGGAAGGGATTAAGAGTTTAATTCTTAGATTACTAAAGATATGAAATCTGAAGCTTTGCTCCTTTATAGTAAAATGGAGTTTGGGCTGAAATCCTGTGAAACAAGTTGTGGTTTTCTCCTCCTTCGAGCAAGAGAATTTCCACATAAAACTCTTGTGTGAGTTTTACTTCCAGCAGTTTACTTTCCACATTGTAATTCTGTCAAGGGACCTGGTCCATTGACCATTAGTGGATGCATACATTCTAACAGAACCACATAACTCTTGCAACAAAGGGAAGCCCAATGCACTAAATCTCCCTCTATGCAGGGTCCGCAGAAGGGCCGGAACCCAAAGGTTTATTGTACACAGCCTTACCTTTGCAGAAATGCAAGAGGCTATTTCTACAGCTTGACACATGTGACCTCCTGGTCAGGCTCTACTTCCTTGGTGAAGTATCTCATTCTACAAAACTGGAACAAATCTCTCGTGCTTAAGACATAAGAAAGAAAGTTGTACCCCTTCCTACTTTTTCTTAGGCAGTGTGTTGATGATCCATAATTTCTCCTTATACCAGAGCAGCTCTGTCGGAGTTATTTATATATTGTGAATGACACACTTTAATCATTTATGATGATGCCTCCAAACAAGCACTAAATTTTGCATTGGTTTGGTATATAATGCAGGTTCCCATATTTGAGAAAATGGACAAACAATTACTGGACACATTGTGTGACAGACTGAAACCAGCACTCTTCACAGATAAGAGCTTCATAATCCGAGAAGGCGATCCAGTAGAAGAAATGCACTTTCTAATGAGAGGTACACTGTTAACTCTGACCACAAATGGTGGAAGGACTGGTTTTTTCAACTCTGTTCATCTCAAGGCTGGCGACTTCTGTGGTGATGAGCTTTTGACATGGGCTTTAGATCCTCATACTTCCTCCAGTAGTCTTCCAATTTCAACTAGAACAGTGCAGGCTGTAACTGATATAGAAGCTTTTGCCCTCACTGCTGATGACCTCAAGTTTGTCGCCTCGCAATTTAGACGTGTGCATAGCAAGCAACTTCAGCATACTTTCAAGTAAGTTTTTTTAAGGCCTTGTTCCATTTCATTACAAGCTTCAATTTACATCAGAAAACAAAATGGTATAAGTTTCAAAGAGAAGTATTGGCTGTTTTATTGATAATATATTGATGATCGAGCAAACAAAGCATGCTCGTATACAAGTAGTATACCAAAAAGTAGAAGGCCTAAATATGTTTTTCTACAAACAACATTCAATCTTCTATACTCCCTCAAAAGCTCTCCTACTTCGTTCCTTCCAGACAACCCACATATATAAGAGCTAATAACACAAATTTCACGCCCTATGATTTCTCCTACTTTCATAACTCCAACTGGACATAACCTCTAGTATCAGCCAAAAAAACTATGTAAAAATCTCCCATCATAATCTCGATTCCATCAGACAACGAATAAGTAGATGGTTGACATCTTCACTGCACTCATACACATAAAACACCAACTGACATAAGTGAGCTTCCTCCTCTTCAGATTCTCTGCCATCTTGATCACTTCTTTAGTTGCTAACCAAGTAATAAAACACACCTTTCTCTACTATGCTTACATATCACAGAACATGGTAAAAAACACCCCGGAAGGACAAGTAGATTTTCATTTCAAGAAGGTATTTAAATAACATCTACATGGCACCTCTCGAAAAAAAAAATTAAAACTCATGATGTACTTGGCTAGTTCAGGTTATTCTCACAACAATGGAGGACATGGGCTGCATGCTTTATACAAGTAGCATGGCGTCAACACTGCAGGAATAAGCTCGAGAAATCCTTAAGAGAGGAAGAAAATAAACTGCAGGCTACATTAGCTAAACAGAGCACAAATGCACCAAGTCTTGGTGCTGCCATATATGCATCAAGGTTTGCAGGTAATGTTCGGTGCGCCTTGCGACGCAACCATACAACTGGTACCGAATCATCTCCCACATTACCTCGACTGCTTCATAAACCAGCTGAACCAGATTTTAGTGAGAAAAAATGATTCATGAGGTTGTGTGGCTAATTGACTAGAGATGTTGGAATATGTTTTATAAATAATGTATTCTTGAGTTAGTAGGACATTTTCTATTTGGAGCGACACACTTTCCTATTTAGTCCGTTCCAAAAAGAATATTTAGAAATAATTTATTTTTAAAATTCTCCTTTTATCCTTAATAAAATGTTTTACAGTCATATAAATATATAGAGCTTTGTTTTAGATCATAGGTTCAAAAGTCTTCCTTTTTTCGTAAATATCATGTCAAGTCCAACCATGTCACATAAAATAAGACTGATGAAGTATCATTTACTAGATTGTGGAAGAATCTAATATTTTTGTCTCCTTCAGCATACCAAGTAACCCCAACCTTTTATCTCCAAAACTCCTCGTTAAAGTGAAGCAATTTTCACAATACCTTAACGATTAGACTAAATCTTTAACTTGAATCAAGATGTGTCAATACTTGTATATATATATTTATTAAATCAAAATTTAACCTCTATATACAATGTAATTTTCTGACGAAAGGGTGTCGCTTGTAGAGGGGCCAAATCAAACCCAACCCATTTAGGTTTGGGTTGGTTATTAACCCGCCCATTTGTTAGCTCAACCCATTAAAAATTGGATTGATATGTCACCCAAATTGATTTTGAGAAATCTTGTTTTTTTTTTTTTAATTTTATATGTTATATATAGTTATAATAAAGAAAAAAAATTATTAGGTACTCATTAAAGCTTATAAAATAATAAATCTATTAAAACTTAGTAAAAAATGGGCGGGTTGGGTTATGACCGGTTACCAACCCGTTACCTAACCCATTTTAACCCAACCCATTTTGATCCAAATAAATTTGGGTTGAGTTGAATCTTGACCCGTTTATTCTCTTGACCAATTTTGACCCGCCCAATTGTCACCCCTAGTCTCTTGACACCCATTGCCCAAGGATGGGTACGTCCGCCCCTATTATAAATGTCCTTGCTTCATTGGGTCAAAGCTTTTTTTAATATTTCCACCTTGGGCTTAAAAATTAAAAAAAGAAACTTGTGACCTTAAACAATATGTCACGTGAAAAATTAAAATGAAAATATTGTTAGAAAAAGAAAGATTTAAAAAGGAAGTGAATCATTCTTTTTAAAAGGATGGAAGTATTATATTTTTAAATAATAAATTTCATAAAAGAAATTATCACTTCATATATGAATTGAATATTCAAATGATCTTTTACTTTTCCAAAAAAAAAAGTGAATATTATATAAAATAACATTATTATATTATATAGATTAGAAAATTGTTAACAATACACCTTTAGACGAGTCTTTTGAAAAGTCAGCAAGTAAAAGTACATCAACTAATGGAAAATGTTGGTACGTAGTTTTCATGGCATGTATGTGGGACCCAACCATGCATGTAGGGAAATTTCTTAGGGCTTGTTTGGAAATTACTAGTTTAGTAATTATAAAAATCAAGTATTTATAAAAATAAAATAAAAAGATTGAAGGGACATGTGAATAAATGTCATTGTATGATAAATACATGTATATATAAGACCTATTAAAAATGAATAAAGAAAGAATTTGAAAAGTCATTTAATAATCGAAAAAGTGTAACTAAACCTTCTCAATTTAATTCAATATTTTTTTACTAATAAAGTAATTACTTACCAGACCAAAAAGTCAAACCATATAAATACACTCAAATCATACTTAAATCTAATAACAATGTAATCTTCCAAACAAACACTTATTAAAAAGGGAAAAAAGAAACAATACCTTTTTTTTATTTTTCATGACTGCTTGATATTCATATTAGAACTCAACTAAATTTTAAATTAATATTGAAAAATCCCATATTGGGGTAATTTTGGTGCGGAAGCAGGGGCTAGAGGGTAAAACACTTCTTAATAAATCCCTAATAAAGTTTGACTTTCTATATCTTGTAGGGTCCAAACTTGAAACAATTAAAGTAGGAAGAAATAATACTTATTTTATTTTTTTCATCCGGTGTCTGGTACCTACATTGGAGTTTTGACTATTTCGGATTCTTGGTGCATAGGGCCCCATTCTGGGGAGCGCTCCCTAACAATAAGGATGTTTTCATAGTTAGGACTCAAACTTGAGACCTTTGATTAAGGATGAAGTAGCCTCATCCGTTGCACCACATCCCGTGATGGCTGAAGAAATAATATCTTTGCTAGATGTGTTCATTGACTTGTGACTTTTCTCCCACCTAAGTCTTGGCAGTTTTCTGAAAAAAAGACCAAGTCCGCCTTTCTATTAACTCAATAAGATGACTGCCTTTTCATAGCAATATCTAGGAACTTTCTTATACAGAAAAAATTGAACACACAGATACATATTACTTGTCCTAAACTTCACTTCATTATTTAATGCCCATGTAAGTTATCTCCAAATTATGTTCATTTCACCATGTAAGTTTCTCTATGCTTAAGTTAATTTCTCAAGGTTCAAACTTCTTTTTTATACTTTTTCTATAGTTTGGGTTTTATTTCCTTTTATATGAGTTGATCTTGATGTTAGATATTTGTTCTGGTTTTCTTATCATATTTGGATTCGTTTTACTTGAAGGAAGAGCAAAACACTTGTCATAAGTGGTATCTCTTTCATATTTAGCTAATTCTTTTCTCGGATTTCGTATACTTGTCTTTTTTTACCAGTGAATTGTTCAAACCATGTTAATTTATAATATCTTTGTATTGTCTTGTTTATCGTCCTTCAAGATTTGCTTTGATTGACATCTGGTTATTTCGATCTAAATAATTGAAACAGCCATATGATCTGATTTCAAAAGTTCATGTTGCATGAAGCACACATTTTTCTTGCTTTTTTTTTATATAATTATTATTATTATATTGGATTTTTGGAATTTGAACAATTACTACTACGCCTCAGTCCAGAACAAGTTGGAGTATTTGAACAATAACTACAACTTCAATTTTTCCACTAATTGAATTTCACATATTTGTTGTTTTTTGAACAGAGAAGCTGAAATATGATGAATCCCAACCAGGAAAAATATGTAAGGTTAGTTCAATCAGCCTCATATACCAAGAAATGTCCAATTATTTTTATTTTGGGCTTGAGCTAAAAATTTCATTATCAAAAGCTTACATAAACATCATGATACAATATCGATTCAAGCTACATGCTAGAGGAATTAATTTGAAAAAATATGTTAATCAATGAAACTAACAAGATAGGACCTCAATGGGAATTGAAGAGCAAAAAGAAGCAGAATTTTCACCGAGGGGTTCATCATAAAATATATATCCTTCAAAAATATGTGATTTTCCTCCAAAGGAGTTCAGATGAACCTACTTCCGCCCTCTAGCTCCGCGCCTGCTTAGACTCTAACCGGGCGTTTTTGTACTTAGGTTTGAGGATTGGAAGTCAGAACAATCATCCTTCAGCATTGACAATGAAAATTCTCAGGATAATAGGCCATTTTATGTCATAAAACCATCATTGAGCTCGTTGATGAGCAGCGTTAAAAGAAGGTTCGAGAGGGGTTCTAAAAGAATTGGTAGCTGGAGAAAATCAATTCGCGTGTATCCTCTAACTGATAAGCCAACAAAAGATCAATATGTAGAACCAAAGAAGAAAGTTCATGATCCTCAGGGGATATTTCTTCAGCAATGGAACAAAGTATTTGTATTGGTTTGTATAATTGCGGTGTCACTGGATCCGCTGTTCTTCTACATTCCTGTCATTAATAACGACAAAAAGTGCCTCGATTTGGACAGGACATTAAAGATCACCGCTTGTGTTCTTCGTTCTATCACTGATCTTTTCTATATCTTTCACATTATCTTGCAATTTCGTACTGGCTACATTGCTCCTCCTTCTCGAATTTTTGGAAGAGGTGAGTTGGTTGAAGATTCCTATGATATAGCCAAGCGATATTTGTTATCATATTTCATCGTTGACGTTGTAGCAGTCCTTCCACTCCCACAGGTTTGTGTCCTCAAAAGCTTGTGTTTTTTGGCATTCTCTTAGCTTAAGAGAGTATGATATTAACAAGTTTAACCTAGTTTTTGTGCAGATTGTGATATTGGTTGTCACTCCCAATGCGAATGGCTCTATTGCTCTGGTGACGAAAGAAATGTTAAAGATTGTCATTTTTGGTCAATATTTTCCAAGAATTTTTAGAATTTATCCATTGTACAAAGAAGTAACAAGGACTTCAGGCTTATTTACTGAAAGTGCATGGGGTGGAGCTGTTTTCAACCTTTCCCTCTACATGCTAGCCAGTAATGTAAGTTCCCTTTCAACCAATGGATTATCAACATTACGTAAAAGACAGAGATAATGATCAAAAACACACCAAAACTATTACTTTTTTGCAAGTTTCACACCTCAACTACCAATTGTTCTCTTTTTCTACCTGAATTATCGCCACTTGTTCCATTTTACTATCTAAACTATCACCATATATGTTTTAAAACAGACCTAGTTGAGGAGATGGTGATAGTCTAGGTAGTAAAAGGGAACAACTGATAGTTGGGGTGTGAAACTCATGAAAAAATGATAGTTCAAATGTGTTTTTGACAATTAACTCTAAAAGATAATTACAAGTAACTGTCCATAATAAATGGAAGTAGTAACATGATAATGCTAGTTAAATAACATTAATAATGTAAAGTTTCTTTATACTGTCCGTATATATAAGTTAAGTCAACTCTTATAGGTGCAAATTAAATGTGTGATCTCAGGTAATTGGAGCATTTTGGTATTTGTTCTCAGTAGAACGCCAAGATACATGCTGGCGCAATGCGTGTGTCAAGATCACTGGCTGTTCATTACACCACTTATATTGTGACAAAAGTTCGATTGAAAATGCTTCCTTACTGAATTCTTCTTGCCCTCTCAAGAAACAAGAAGATATACGTGATCCAAATGATTTTGATTTTGGAATCGCTCTTGATGCTCTTCAGTTTCGGATTGTGGAGAAAAGGAAATTCTGTACCAAACTCTTCTATTGCTTT